TTAAGAAACTATTTCAGAAAGAATTAGATATAGGATTGCTAGAATACAATTCATACAACTACGAAATTCTGCTACAAGAAGAGAAATAGCTCAAATTCTTCTCTATTTATAAACTAAACAAGATATAGCTAGAAGCACTTAGGAAGTATCTTAATGAAAATCTTAAGAAAGAATATATATAATTATTATAATTATTAGCAGAATATTTCATTTTATTTATATTTAAGAAAAATAGCAAGCTTAAGCTATATATTAATTATAAGCAATTCAACAATATTATAATTAAGAACTAATATTTATTACTACTTATCAAGAAATTATAAGATAGATTATAAGAAGTATAGTAATTTACAGTTCTAAATCTAAAAAAAGCTTATAATCTAATTAGAGTAAAGAAAGAAGAAGAATGGAAAACTGCTTTCAGAACATGCTATAAATACTACGAATATTTAGTTATGCTCTTTAATCTAATAAATGCTTCAGCTTCATTTCAGAAAATAATTAATTACATTCTATGCAAGTATTTAAATCAGTTTATTATTGCTTATCTTAATAATATTCTTATTTACTCTCAAGTACTTGAAGAATACAAGAAATATATAGAAATAGTATTGCAAATACTTCAAGATGCAAAACTCCTTATGAAATTCGCAAAAAGTTACTTTTATATACAAAAGATTAATTACTTTAGATTTACAATCAAGCTAGAATATATTAAGCTATAGAAGAATAAGATAAAAGCTATCAGAAACTAGCTAATTCCTAAGAACATTAGAAATATTAAGTCTTTTCTCAGCTATATTAACTTCTATAAGCAGTTCATTAAGAACTACAGCTAGATTATATACCTCCTTACAAATCTCATCAAAAAGAATCAATTCTTCAAATAAACCTCCAAAGCACAAGAAGCTTTTAATAAGATCATTAAGCACATCATTTCAGAGCTAGTTCTATATAAAGCAAACTCCTATAAGCTCTTTGAAATTAAAACTAATACATCAGAATATGCACTTAGAAAATAACTTAGTCAGCAAGATAACTAAGAATATCTAAGGATTATAAGCAACTTTTTAAAGAAGTTAAATAGCTTGGAAATCAACTACAGAATCCCTAATCAGAAACTCATAGCAATAGTGAAAGCTTTTGAGAAATAGCAATATTATCTTATTAGTATACAATATCTAATCATAGTTTACTCGGATTATAAGAATCTGACTACATTTATAATAACTAAGATTTTGAATAAGCAACAAATTAAATAAACAGAATTCCTTTTATAGTTCGATTTTAAAATTATGCACTGCAAAAGCTCAGAAAACGAATAAGCAGATGCTTTTAGTAGAAGATCAAACTATCAAAATATAGATTCCTTAGATATATAGAATATTTTCGCTTAAAATAAGTTAGGAAATCTCGTTAATGCATATAGAGAACTGAATGCTGCTCTCAGAATTAAACTCTTGAAAAGAAATTCAGAATCAATAACTTCAAACAAACAAGATAACTATATCAAGAATATATATAGTATATCAGCATATAAGCATCAGAGAGTTAGAGCAATCTATAAATGCATCAAAAGATACTGGAATCCATTAGACTTTAAGAAAAGAATTGAAAGCATTCTATAATAATGCAATAGCTATAAGAAGAATAAAGCAGAAAGATATAAGCCTTATAAACTACTGTACTTCTTACTAGTACTTACAACTATTTAGCAATCTATTAATCTAAACTTTATTATTAAGCTATCTTTCTTATAAGAATTCTTAACTAAGATGCAATATAATAACATTCTAGTAGTAATTTGCAAACTAAGCAAATATACTTATTTTCTCTTCTATAAGAAAAGCAATATAGCAGAGAAATTCGTATATGCATTCCTTAGAACGATTATTGCTAACTATAGCATATCAGAGAAAGTAATCTCTAATAGAAATAGAAAGTTCAACTCAAAGTTTTGAACTTTGCTTATAAAACAGCTTGGAATATACTACAGAATATTTATAGCATTTTATTTGCAAACAGATGAATAGATAGAAAGAATAAATCAGATTATTGAATAATATCTTTAATACTATATCAATCAGAAACAGAATAACTAGATTAACTTATTATCTCTTGCACAGTTCGCTTATAATAGTACAAATACAAGCATAATAAAGAAATCATTATTCTTTATACTCTATAGATATAATCCAATAGCTTACTATAAGATACTGCTAGAAGCAGATATAGAAGCTGCGGATAAAAGAATTAAGAAGATTAAGAAAGTTTAGAAGAAACTCTGATCAGAACTACAATTCGTTCAGAAACGAATAATATAATATACAAACTCCAAAAGGATTGAGGAACTAATCCTACAGAAGGAAGATAAGATCTATCTACTTCGAAAAAACATTAAAATAACTAAACTCAGCAACAAGCTTGATTATAAGAAGTTAGAATTATTCAAAATCTTGCAACAGATTTCTCCAGTTAACTATGAATTAGTATTATTTCATAGGATAAAGATATACTCGATTTTTCATATCTTATTGCTGAAATCAGTAGTATAGAAAATACTAACAAATAATACAGCAGAAATGGAAAATAATAAATCAGAGTATGAGATAGAGAAGATTCTCAGGCATAGAAGCATAAATAATATAAGAGAATATCTTATCAAATAAAAAGATTATTTAGCAAGCGAAAATTCTTGGAAACTGTAGAAAAACATTAAAAATGCTCAAGAAAAGATAGCTAAATATTGGAAAAGGAAAACCAGCACCTAAGACAATCGCTCCGCCCCGAACTGAGCTCCAGAGCTCTCAAAGACCTCGCTCTCCAGAAAACCTGACTAATCCACCACTGCATTCCTTACATCTACAGAATTCCAGTCAAAACCTCCAGAAGAGGGATCCCCAGGAACAACCACAGGCTCCGCGGAAACCACAGCCTGCACCTCAGCCGCTACGTGCTCGCGCTCCTCCTCCTCCAGGCCCTCATTCACCAGTTTTATCCCCTTCTCCTGAAGGAAGCGTTGCTGCTTCTTCAAATGAAACAAACAATCTAGAAACTCAAACAAACGAGCTTAAGCATCTGCTAGCTCTTGCTAATACTCTAACAAACGCTTCTTCTCCTCTATCTTCCTACTATCCAAACAAACTAACTCATTAGTAATACGAGATATTAAGGCAATATTATCAGCAAGAACTAAGAAAGAGGAAAGAGAAAGCTTATAAGAAAATATAGAAATTCGATCAGCATTACAGGAATAATCTTGTTTCATACACTAAGAACAGCTCTTAATCCTATCTACTATCTTATATCGCACTCTCTCCTTCAGATACAATAAGCACAGTATAACTTCATAGCCAGTGAATTCAATATATGAATAATGCTTGAGATAACGAAAATGCAGCTTCGAGAAAGTAATGGAAGCATCAGAAGAAGATTTGCTAATATAGGAATTTAAAGTTCTATTCAACATCTCGATTAGAAAGGCATAACCATGCATACGGAGAACTTGCTGAATACTTACAGAAGATCATTGAGAACAACAACTAATAGAAGGAAGATGATATTATAACTCATCCAATATGCAGATTACGAAAACAAATCACAGGCAAACAAGAATCAGATATTATAACTCAATATCAGACAACTTACAAGGATTATATAACTCAGAGTTAGAATTATAAGCCAACCAATCAGATAATAAGGCAATCACTAGTAATCACCAGCGCTCAGTAATCAGTAGTAATCCGGAATAATCAGTAATAATCCAGAATGATCACCAGCAAGCAAGAAACTAAAGAACCAGATATATGAAGATTTACATTTCTTGCTGCTAGATAGATTTCCTTCAGATAGTTCTTCAGTTGTCAATCTAAGTATTCAGTTTCATATACTGAGTAGCTTCAAAGGCAGTGAACACTTGCATCGCTTATTAGGACTTGTACGATTCCGTATTCAAGGACTTAGCACTTTGACACCGCTCTTGTTAGCATAAACCCCTTCGTGTACTTAGGAATCTTCGGATTGCTGCAGTGCTCATTACACTATACAAGCTTTGCCTTTGGAGGAGTATAACTAGTTATTATAATTAGCAGTTAGAAATTTCTTGAAGAGGAGGGTTTATACAGAATTATATTAAAAAACTGAGTGCTGGTAGTTATTCTAAGGGATGCAGGGCTGTTAGCAGAGAAGTTGTTCCAGAGTGAGTGTTGTTGAAAGAGGGAGATATAGCTGTAATATTTATACTTGAATGAGATATTGCAGCTGTTGTGAATGAGTTAATGATAGAACTAATAGGAAGGAAGTTGAAGAAGAGTTGCTTTATAGTGAATAAGAAAGAAGCGATTTAAGAATCTTGTTTATATAAAATATATAGCAGCTAGTGCTATTTATGCTAGCTATATTGTATAGGAAAGGAAAGAAAAGATATCTTAGATCTGATTAATACTCTTTATAAGCTCAAAGATAAGAAGATTAAGCTAATTAATGATTTCTAGTCTGATAGTTTAGTACTGAAAGGAATAATTGAATAAAAGCTTGCTAAGATTAAGAAGATGAAATGAGCTTAGCAATTTACAAAGCTTATTAAGTATGATGAGTGAATTGAATTCAAGTTTAGCGATCTGAATTCTAATTAGCATTTAAGATCTGATTAGTAAGCTGCTATGCAAGAGAAAAACTGTAAAGAGTTTTCTGAAGCTGAGAAAGAAATGTTTAAATATATGTTGAGAAATAGAATTAAAGCTTTTGCATGAAACTTTATTAAGATTGGAAAGATTATTGAGAAAGTAGCTTTCTTGCAAGAAATTAGAATTATATCTTATAAGATCTTTCAAGCGAAGCATATTTCAATTCTCAATGCTTTTAAGCTAAAATTAATAGAGCTTCTGAAATAATGTATTAAATAAGAGATTATTAAGAAAAGCTATATATTATACAGAAATAACTAATTTCTGATTATTAAAAAGAATAGTAGCTTATACTTAATCAATAATGCTTAAAAGTATAACAAGTATAGCTTTAAGAATGCTTTTATGCTGCTTGTTTCAGATGAATTCTCAGAGAAGTTTGCTATATATAAGATTTTTTTATTGCTTAATTTCTTTTCCAAGTATAATCAAGTGCAATTATATTCTAATAGCAGGAATATAATAATCTTCTTAATGCTCTTAAGCTTATTCAGAATGTATATTCTATTCCAGAGTGCTACTAACTCTGTTGCTCAGTTTATAAGAATAATAGTTAAACTTCTATATAATTTTATTTCTTATATATACTAGCTTTTTCTCGATAATATTCCTATTTATAGTTTTATAATAATCTATAGGAATGAAGAGATTCCAAGCCTTTCTGGAGTGCATAAGTATATTGCTGAGCATATCGGAAATCTTAATAAGATTCTTATAAATGCAGAGCTAGCTGAAGCTACAATTTCAGCATTTAAGTTAGAATGATGCTGAATAAAAGTTAATATGATTGATTATATTATTAGTTTTAGCAGATAATAACTTTAGAATAGAAAGATGGAAAAGCTTCTAGCTTGAATAGAATGCAAGAATATCAAAGATGTTTGCTCTTTTATTGAATTGATTATTTATTATATAGCTTGGATTTAGAATTTTGCAATCATTGCTTAACTACTTTACAATCTTCTTAAGAAAGATATTATATGAAAATAAGAGAAGGAATAGAAAGAAGCTATTGCTATACTTATTCGAATACTTATGTTTTGTTTAGTTATTATTTCAATTGATTATAGTATTGATACTAAGAAGATTATTCTTATGATGAATGCAAGCTTATTGGGCTGAAATGCTGTATTAATGCAGATAGTAGAGAATAAATAAAAGCTAGCATATTTCATTAGCAAAATCTGAATAGTTGTAGTATAGAAGTATAATGCTATTAAGAGGGAGTATTATGCTATTCTCTATACTTTATAGTTTCTTTAGCAGTATTTTTATAATTATTATTTTATTCTGAAAACTAATACTTGCATTCTAATAAATTAATTTAATAAAGAAATAAATAATATATCTAATACTCTTCTGAATAAATGAATAGTAGTAATTAAGATATTTGATTTTATTATTAAATATATTTCTAGATTAAAGAATTTTATAGCTAATGCTCTTTCTTAATCTTTATATTTAATATTATCTAAGAAAAATAAAGATAGTAATATTGAGAACTAGTATAATGCTTAGCTTAATAGCATAAATTCAGATAGAGCTAATTTAATATTACTGCTAAATTCAACTTTTTAGTAAATGAAATAGTTGAAATAATATATAGAATTCTTATATTATAGGATTATTCTATTAAAACTTTTCAAGAGGGATTACAAGAACTTTATAATAGAAGTATTAAAGTATTAAATACTTAATTAAGCTCTATAGTATTATACTAATACAAAACTTCTTTATTAATAAATAGTAAATAATTCTAATCTTTATTGCTAAATTATTAGAGAATATTATACTAAGTTTGAATATTAAGATTGAGATTTTATAATAGCTTGTATTAAGCAATTCTACTACTGGAGAGATTTCTGGATAGATATAGCTAATGCTGTTTCAGATTGTAAGAAGTATGCAAAGTTTAATTCAAAGATATGAAAGGAAGAAGTAATTCCGATTCTTTCAAGTTAATTCTTTACAAGAATTAGTATTAATATTCAATATATAGCTGAGAATAGCAGTTATAGATATTTTATAGAAGCTTGTTATAATCTGATTAGCTATATGCTTGTAAGATCTTTCAAGAAAGCTATAGCTGCGGAAATAAGGAAGTTTATTTTGAAAGAGATTATTTTTGTATTCAAGTGCTTTCTCAAAATTATTATTGATAAAGAACTAGAAAATAAGGCTAAGATAGCTAAGATTATTAGAGCTCTTGAGATCTTGCTTATTCAGATTTCTAATTATAATTCCTATATTTAAGAATAAATAGAAGCTGATTATCTTTTCTTAGCAAGTATTCTTGCTAAGCTAGCTAATGCTTAACTCTGAAGATGAAAGCAGTACTTAAGATTTGCACTTTTTGCTGAAAGAACTATGATTTGCTAGTTATATAAATATAGCTTCTTCTATTTGATTTTTAGTTAGAAGCTGCTTATTCCAATTGAAACTAAAATTCTAATATAGAAAGTTCTTATATAAATCAAAAACTAATTCTCTTAGAAAGCGTTTGAAATGCAGTTAAGAATGATTGCAGCTAAGAAAGATAATATACAGAAGGCAATTAAAGCTGTTTAAGTATATTATTAAAAAATTATAGCTAAAAGTTAAATATAGAATTTGATACGAAAATCTTAACTGAATGTTGAAGATCTTGTACTTGTTTATAATTATATTTAGAAAATAAGCTACTTATACAATGCTAAGATCTCTTATAAGTAAAAGAGTTTATATCTAATTGCTTAGATTCTAAATAAATATGCTTAAAAGCTCAAGATTATAGATGGAGTTCTGCTAAAAAGCATATATTTAGCTACTAATCTCAAAAAGTTTGTATAGAATATAAATAGCATTTAAGAATTCGAAATGCTTATATTTTGAGAAGAAGATATTAAGCTTCAATCTAGCTAATTATTAGCAGAAAAGCTGGATTTAATAAGAGCTTTCTAGTAAGAGGAATCAGATAATAATATTTTTGAAATTCAGAAAGCAGATTCAAGCAATGATGCTATATTCTGAATTTCAGATATTATTAAGCATAACTCTATACTTAGCTAAACTAGTTCTGATTCAGAGATTATTAATCTAGCAACTAAAGCGGATGATAATGCTGAGAATGGAAATGAAGTTAATAATAGTAAATATTTTATATAAGCAGTAGAGAAGGAGAGATAAGAATAGGAGAAAGCAGATAGAAGTAAAATATTTATACTAATTCCAACTAAATCAGCATTTCTAGCTTGTAAAAAAGATTAATTTCTTTCTATTTATATTTCCTTTTTGTTTATAAAATACATTTTCTTTTCATCTTTTCTATTCTATCTTGTGTATTTTGCTGAGGAAGGAGGGATAAAGTATTGTTTGCTACTACTTGCTACAGAATACTGTAAATCTATTTAAAAATTTCAAAGCATTCAGTATAAAGCATATTAACTAGCTCTAAAGCTATTTTCGTTATTCAAAAATTGCAGTATATTGGAATGCAATGTATGAAAAATATAGAGCGCTAAAGAAATACTACAATCTATGAAGATCTCTTATTTTTATATATTATTCTTATTACTAGAATATCCATAAATATCATCTAATAGCTCTCTTCTCATTCTGTTCAAATTCATATTATTTATATCATTCGCTAAAGAATTATTATTAAAAACAAAGGAAGAATTCTGAGATTGAACGAACTTAGCTTATTTCTTGATACAAGATTCTATTACAGCTTTGCTCTTGCTTTTATTCTTGCTACAAGATATAGATTATAGAGCTGCTTTGTTATAACCCATCCAACATGCAGGTCACGAAACAGGTCACAAGCAACAAGGACTGGGTATCAGGAACCCAACGTGCTGATAGAACATTGATTACATAATCTAGAGTTAGAGCTGCAACAGGGATGGATTACTGGATCATTAGATGATTCAGTAAGCCCGAATCATCTGAATCAGTAGTAAGCCAGAGTGAGCTATACTGAAGAGCTGAATATATAACTGCACATTCCTTACTCTTAGATAAATACAGTATATAGCTCTTTAGTTATCAATCTAAGTATCAGATTGCTCTCTATTCTAATAGCTTCAAAAGCAGTAAATACTTGCATTGCTTACTAAGACTTGTATAGTTCCGTATTCAAGAACTTAGCACTTTAATACTGCTTTTGTTAGCATAAATCCTCTTTGTATACTTTGGAATCTTCAGATTGCTGCAGTACTCATTACATTTTAATAATTCTTGTTCAAGAACAGTTCAGTATTATCCTTTTGAGCAATACGGAATACAATAGCTTCTCCAGAAATCTCTTCATTCTCGTACGCCTCTACTCAGAAAGAACTAATTAATTAGGTATACTAGCTTATTTAGTATATTTAGAATCTGTATAAATAATAGCAAGCTTAGAGTGCTATTATTGCTAACTAATAAGCTTAGCTAGCTTAATAAGCTTAGCAAGCGCAATCTATCTCTGTAATTACTAATAGCGCGAAAAAAATATATAAGATAGATAAGCTTGCTATATATAATAGCAATTAAAAGATGCTGCATAAATTCCTTACTTATTGCAGAGCATATTTTCTGCACTATAAGACTCAGTTTACTAAGAAATCTGAGAAAATTATCCTTACAGGAACTCATTTCGAAAAAAATGCTCTTATCTAATATAAGCTTTCTCTATATAACTACTTGAAGCATCAAGATAATTCTGATGCGCATACTCAGAGTACTAAGAATATATTTAATTCTTTTAAAAGCTTTGAAAAAGCTTTCAAGAAAATCTTTAGTAATTCTAACGAAGAATATATTATAGCTCAGCAGCTTATAAATCTCAAGTAAACCAAATCAGCTTCTATTTATATAATTAGATTTAAACAATTCTTAGTACAACTCTTGTAGAAAGATAAGAATCTTATAAAGTATTATTATAAGAGATTTAAGAATGATATTAAAGATGAAATCTTCAAGCAGAATTAGCTAAAGAACTTTGCAATATTCTCTAATTAAGCTATTCATATTAATAACTATCTATATAAATAATGAATAAAAAAGTTCAAGAAGAAAGAAAGCTAAACTTGGAGATTTCCAGCTAATATAAGCAAGAAACTCCAAAACAAAAATAGCAGTTAATATAGCAGTACAGCTTAAAGCAGCACTATGCATGCTAGTTTCATGAAACTCAATATAGCTAATAAGCAATATAGCAAGAAGCATAATATTACTTATTATAACTGTAATAAATAAGAATATATAGCATATAACTGCTATTAACTTCGAAAAAACAAATAGTAATCAGTTTAGAAAGAATGCTAAGCAAATATTGCTTAGCAATAAAAATCTAATTAACTAAGCAAAAATACTCTCTTAGAGCAAATATCGAATTCTATTAATTACAGAAGTTTCAGCTAAATATTCTGCTATAATAATAACTGCTTAATATACTTCTCGAATAAGAAAAGTTCAGAATAATTCCCTTAGAAATCTAAGTATTGCAGACAAATAGCAATAGCAGAACGAGAATACATGTTTAGCATTCTTACAAGTAGCAACTTGAACTGCTTTAATATTGCAGAATAGAGTATTCAAGCATTGGAAGAAGAACTTAGCAATAATACTTTTCAACATTCTTTATTACTTATGCTAAGCATTATAACTAGAGATATAAATAAGGAATAGTACTCTCTTAGTTATTAGTATAAATATATGAATAATACTGAAAATGCTTCTTAAGCAATAGAAGAATCAAATTAGAATAAATAGCTTAACAATTTATTAGAATCTCTTATGAATAATGAATTCAAGAAACTTATAAGAAGATTTCCCTTTAGCATTGAATAAAATAAGGAAATAATATAGATTGAATATCTTATTTATAAGATAGAGCTAGAAAAGCTCTTTATCTGCATTTCTTTGCAAGATATTAAAGCATAATAAGATAAGAATTCTTGAATTAGCTTATTTCATAATCTATATTACAAACTAATATAAATCTTCTGCATTTATCATAACTGCAAAATGCATTTTTCGAATAAAGTATAATACAAATGATTCTCTATTAGAAAATCAGAACAAATTCTTTAAGCTATTAAAGAAAAGAAGCTCTGCTTCAGAGAAGTTCTTAATAAACAGTATTACAATGCATATATCAAGCTACTAGATAACTATTCTATACAATATATAAATAAGAAGATAAAATAATAGCAATGTAGAATAATATTTTGTATAATTCATATTAGCAATAAGATTTGCAATTAGTATTAATAGAAGAAAGATTAGAAATAATAATAATACAAGCAAAAGCAAGCTAAGAAGCTTGCTTAAGAAGCAGCAAAGCAAGCTTAGAAGAACAAGCAGTTCTCAATAATTTCAAAAGAATAGAATTGCTTATAAAGAAATTGCAGATAATTAAACTAGAACAGTTCTTATATAAAGCTTTCAGAATAAATTATGCTTATATTAAGTTCAATATATATATTTAAGAATATAAGTATAGCGTACTATTGAATAGTAATGCTTAAAGAAACTTCATATTTTTATATATTATTAATTAAGCATAATTATAATGGAAATGGAAAAGATGCTTATACACTCTTAGCACTATAGAAGAACAATCTATTGCATATAATCAAGAAATAATTGATAAGAAAACTAATTATTTATCTATTTTGATTCAAGAATATATAATCAGAGCTTTCTTTAATATTATAGATATAGTATAATATAAGCTAATTATAGAACTTTTATAGCTTAAAAAGTATAATTCTCGAATCAATTGAACTACTAGCTAGATCTTATAAGAACAAGCTATATCTAGAGAAATAGTTGCAATTAATAATATAGGATCGAAGCTAGTTATTAAAGAATACTCGGGAAAAGAAGCTTTAGATAACTTTATATATACTTTCAAATCAGCAGAGCTAGCAATTCAGAGAGAAGAATCTAGTAATAAGCAAATCCAAATAGTGCTAGAGTGCTAATAGGTTAGCAAAACAACGAAAGCAAGATCCTCAGCAAGTTAGTTCGCTCTGAAATAATAAGAAAAAGCTTCAGAATGTGAATTGTAAACCTATACAGGAAAAACCTCGAAACCAGGCTCTTAAGCGCTCAGTTCAGCCCGAAGCGAACGCTCAAAGCTCTCAAAAACATTACCAAAAATAACGAACGAAAAGAAGCATGCTCAGCAGTATCTACTATTCCTCCAGATAATAGAAACAGCATAAGAATTAGAATCAATACTTGCAAATATATTATAAGAATATTATAAGTTTAAGAAACTATTTCAGAAAGAATTGGATATAGAATTGTTAGAATATAGCTTATATAACTACAAGATTCTGCTACAAGAAGAGAAACAGCTCAAATTCTTTCTTATTTATAAACTAAACAAGATATAGCTAGAAGCATTTAAAGAGTATTTTAATAAGAATCTTAAGAAAGAATATATACAATTATTGTAATTATTAGCAGAATATTCTATTCTATTTATATTTAAGAAAAATAATAAGCTTAAGCTATATATTAATTATAAATAATTCAATAATATTATAATTAAGAATTAATATTTATTGCTATTTATTAAGAAGCTATAAGATAGATTGTAAGAAGTATAGTAATTTATAGTTCTGAATCTGAAAGAAGCTTATAATCTGATTAGAATAAAAGAAGAAGAAGAATAGAAAACTGCTTTCAGAATATGCTATAAATACTATGAATATTTGGTTATACTCTTTAGTTTAATAAATATTTCAGCTTTATTTCAGAAAATAATTAATTATATTCTATATAAGCATCTGAATTAGTTTATTATTGCTTATCTTAATAATATTCTTATCTATTCTTGAATACTTAAAGAATATAAGAAATATATAAAAACAGTATTGCAAATACTTCAAAATGCAAAACTTCTTATAAAATCTGCAAAAAATTATTTTCATATACAAAAGATTAATTATTTCGAATTCATAATCAAGCCAGAATGTATTAAGCTATAGAAAGATAAGATAGAAGCTATTAGAAATTAGCTAATTCTCAGAAATATTAGAAATATTAGATTTTTTCTCGAATATATTAATTTCTACAAGCAATTTATTAAGAATTATAGCTGAATTGCATATTCTCTTATAAATCTTATCAAAAAGAAGCAGCTCTTCGAATAAACTTCTAAAGCATAAGAAGCTTTTAATAAGATTATTAAATATATTACCTTAGAGCTAATTCTGTATAAAGCAGATTTCTATAAATTCTTTAAAGTTAAGATTAATATATCAGAATATATATTCGGAGAATAACTTAGCTAGCAAAACAATCAAGAGTATTTAAGAATTATAAGCAATTTCTTAAAGAAGTTGAATAGCTTGAAAATCAACTACAGAATTCTTAATTAGAAACTTATAGCAATAATAAAAGCTTTCAAAGAGTAGCAATATTATTTTATTAGTATATAATATCTAATTATAGTTTATTCAAATTATAAGAATCTAACTATATTCATAATAATTAAGATTTTAAATAAGTAATAAGTTAGATAAGCAGAATTCCTCTTATAATTCAATTTTAAGATTGTATATTATAAAAGCTTGGAGAATGAATAAGCAGATGCTTTTAGCAGAAGATTAGATTATTAAGATGCAGATTTCTTGAATATATAGAATATCTTTGCTTAAAATAAATCAGGAAATCTTATTAATATATATAGAGAACTGAATGCTGTTCTTAGAATAGAATTCTTGGAAAAGAATTCAGAATTAATAACTTCAAATAAATAAAATAACTATATTAAGAATATATACAGTATACTAGTATATAAATATTAGAGAATTAGAATAATTTATAAATGTATTAAAAAATATTAGAGTTTATTAAGCTTTAGAAAAAGAATTAAGAATATCCTATAATAATATAATAGCTGCAAAAAGAATAAAGCAGAAAGATATAAGCTTTATGAACTACTATACTTCCTACTAATATTTATAATTATTTAGCAATTCATTAGTTTAAACTTTATTATTAAGCTATCTTTTTTATAAGAACTCTTAATTAAGATATAATATAATAGCATTCTAGTAATGATTTGCAAACTGAGCAAATATGCTTATTTTCTTTTCTATAAAAAAAGCAGTATAGCAGAAGAACTTGTATATGCATTCCTTAGAATAATCATTGCTAACTATAGCATGCTAAAGAAAATAATCTCTAATAGAAATAGAAAGTTTAATTTAAAGTTTTGAATTTTACTTATAAAACAGCTTAGAATATATTATAGAATATTTATAGCATTTTACTTATAAACAGATAAATAGATAGAAAGAATGAATTAAGTTATTAAATAGTATTTATAATATTATATTAATTAGAAACAGAATAACTAAATTAATCTATTACTCTTTGCATAATTCGCTTATAATAGCGCAGATATAAATATAATAAAGAAATCGCTATTCTTTATACTTTATAAATATAATCCAATAGCTTATTATAAAGCATTGCAAGAAGCAGATATAGAAGCTATAGATAAAAGAATTAAGAAGATTAAGAAAATTCAGAAAGAATTCTGATTAGAATTACAATTCATTTAGAAACGAATAGCATATTATACAAACTTCAAAAGAATTGAGAAACTAATCCTATAGAAGGAAGATAAGGCTTATCTACTTCGAAAAAACATCAAAACAACCAGATTTAGCAATAAATTTGATTACAAAAAGTTAGAATTATTTAAAATCTTATAACAAATCTTTCCAATTAATTACGAATTAGCATTATCTTATAGAATAAGAATATATCCAGTTTTCCATATCTCATTATTGGAATCAGCAGCATAGGAAATATTAATAAATAATATAGCAGAAATAGAAAATAATAAATCAGAGTATGAAGTAGAAAAAATCCTTAAGCATAGAAGTACAGATAATACAAGAGAATATCTCATCAAGTAGAAAGATTACTTAGCAAGTGAAAATTCATGAGAACTATAAGAAAACATTGAAAACGCTTAGGAAAAAGTAGCTGAATATTGGAAAAGGAAAGCCAGCACCTAAGATAATCGCTCCGCCCCGAACCGAAGCTTAGGAATCTCAGAAATCTCACTTTCCAGGAAATCCAACTAATTCACTACAGAATTCCCTACATCTACAGAATTCCAATCAAACCTCTCAAAGAAAGAATCTCCGATAATTACAGCTAACTCCTTCAAAACAGCCTCCTGCACAGCAGTAGCAGCACAACAGCATTCCTCTTCAGCTTCCTTAGCTTCAATACAATTCAGCTTCTCCACATTGTTAATACTGCAACAAATAGCGCATATCATTTTCTCAAATCACATTCATTTCTGCTTGCGCAGACGAAGAACCTTCTCCTCAGCAGCCTGCAGCTCATTCTTCAGCTCTTGATGCTGAGTAGCAATCTTGCGCAGCTCCGAAGAACTAACGCCCTGTACATCGCATCGGGAATAATGGAGTTGAACGCATTCAGCGCAATAAGAAGAATCGAGAGGAGAAACTTAGCAGAAAGAAATGCTTTGATTCTTACAAAACGAATAGAAAGGCATGATAAAAGAATGTTGAAGAATAGCAGAAAGGAAGCTTTTGCATTCTTCAATTTTTCGAGAATGGGACTTGGGAATACGAGACTTGTTAACTCTATTCAACATCTCGATTAGAAAGGCAAGATCATACATACAAAGAATTTGCAGAAATATTTATAGAAAAATATTAAGAATAACAACTAACAGAAGGAAGATAATATTATAACCCATTCAACATACAGATTACGAAACAGATTACAAGCAATAAGAACTGAATATCAGGAATCCAATATACTAATAGAATATTAATTATATAATCTAGAATTAAAGCTGCAACAGAGATAGATTACTGGATTATTAGATAATTCAATAAGCCTGAATCATCTGAATCAGTAGTAAGCCAGAGTAAGCTATACTGAAGAGCTGGATATATAATCGCACATTCCTTACTCTTAGATAGATACAGTATATAGCTCTTCAGTTGTTAATCTAAGTATCAGATTGCTCTTTACTCTGATAGCTCCAAAGGCAATGAACACTTGCATCGCTTACTGAGACTTGTACAGTTCCGTATTCAAGGACTTAGCACTTTAATACTGCTCTTGTTAGCATAAACCCCCTTTGTGTACTTTGGAATCTTCGGATTGCTGCAGTGCTCATTACATGCTTACTCAAATCCAGATACTCTCTTCTTGAAAGCAGAAGAAGCAGTACTCTTCTTACTGATTTATATAAATAAAGTTAGCAATGATTTTCTTAAGCATTATAATTATAATTAGTTATAAAACTTATAGTATTCTGTAAGTATTACTTCCTTGATATAAGAGGAACTTATTTAATCTGATTATATATAATATCTTTATTCTGCATGAGCTTGTATTGAGCTTTGATAATATACTTAATATTAGCATTGGAATTAACTTAAGAATCTATTTCGATTATATATTGAGAGCTGAATTAGTAAAATGAATGCTAATGCTGCAAAAAGAATAATAATTAGTATATACTCAAATCTAATTAAAGATATTAGAATAGAAATCTTACTTATACATTATACTTTTTAATATAAGGAAAGTCTTTGATATAATTATATTTAGATTCTATATAATAAATATAGTTACTGCACTTTCTATTAAAGAAGCTCTTTATTAAAATGCATTCTAGAAAAAGCTAGTTAATATTAATCTGCTATTTCTGTATAAGCATACAAGCAGTAGCATACTAATAGAAGCAGCAATTGCAAGAGATTAGATTATACTGATTATAGAACTAAATGAGAAGAGAATTTATTTGCTTAAAGCAAGAGAAGATGCAAATAAGATACTTGCTAAAGAGCTTTTAATCAGCTTTATATACTATAATAGAATTCAGTTTGATAGAATTCTTATTGTTTAGTCTTGCAAAATGAGCAGCAAAGCTAGAGCTTAGTAATAAGTTATTTCAAAATATAATATTATCTTGAATATTTCAAGAAGCATATATTAAGCTAAGATTTTTCTTGATAGTATTAAAGTCTGTAATATTAAGAAAATTGATATGGATATTCTTGAGCTAGTAATAATTGCTGCTCTGAGAAGAAGGAATTGAAGAAGAAAACTAGATTCAGATCTTGTTAACTTCTTAAGAAGCAATATTTATTTGCAAAGAGAAAATAGCATTAATAATGATTCAAGATATCTTGAGTATATTGCAGAGCTAAGCAAGGAAAGATTAATAGAAGGAGAAGTTGTTATACGAAAAATGAATTGAAAAATAAGATGAACTAAGAGAGAGATTATTAAATAGTTTGCTAAAGATTAATAAAATAACAATAAGTAATAAATATATTCAACTGAGTTATTATACTTTCTATTTAGTTTATTGCTAAACAGCTTCTATCTAGCTAAGAGTAAAGCTATTTGCTTTATAATAAATGAAAAGCAGTAAATTACTTAAATAGTTGCTAAATAAGATAAATTAGCTATTTTATTCATACTTGCAGCTAGCTATTCTTCTTCCTTCTTCAACCTCTTTACAACTACCTTTCTTAAGCATATATACATTCTTTTTCTTTCTCATTAATGCTGCTCCAAACCTGTATACCAATATCAGAGCAAATTATTAACTGCTCTGCTTATATAATATTATTTTTGTCAGGTGGAAAGGTTGCAAAGGCAATGTGGCGAGGTCTTTCTCTCTTTCAGGGGCATACAACCAGAATAACATTGAGGCCTAAGGAGCTAAGTTCTGCTCAGCAGTGCTGACGTGGCTAGAAAGCCGCTTTATAGCCGCATATTGCTTAGTCATCCGTAATCCAGCTGGCTTAGCTAGCCCTGAGCCTTGCTGGCACAATCAGCCCTGACAGATTATCCCCCCTTATCAGGCCTTGTCCTCAAGGCCTTTGAGGCTTCCGAGCTTTCGTTGCTTTCAGGCTTCCGTTGCTCCCAGGCTTCCGTTGCTCCCAGGCTTCCGTTGCTTCCAGGCTTTCGCTGCTTCCTAGCTGCTCCTACGCTTTCTCAATGCTTCAGGCTCTTAAGATCTCTCAGTGCTTCAGGCTTCTCAAAGCTTCTCAAGATCTCTCAGTGCCTCAGGTTTCTCAAAGCCTCTCAAGATCTCTCAGTGCCTCAGGCTTCTCAAGGCCTTTCAAGATCTCTCAGTGCCTCAGGCTTCTAGGCCACTCAAGGTCTCTCAAGGTCTCTCAGTGCCTCAGGCCTCTCAAGATCTCTCAGTGCTTCAGGTTTCTCAAAGCCTCTCAAGATCTCTCAGTGCTTCAGGCCTCTCAAGGCCTCTCAAGGTCTCTCAGTGCCTCAGGCCTCTCAAGGCCTCTCAAGGTCTCTCAGTGCCTCAGGCTTCTAGGCCACTCAAGGTCTCTCAAGATCTCTCAGTGCCTCAGGCCTCTCAAGGCCTCTCAAGGTCTCTCAGTGCCTCAGGCCTCTCAAGGCCTCTCAAGATCTCTCAGTGCCTCAGGCTTCTAAGCCACTCAAGGTCTCTCAAGATCTCTCAGTGCCTCAGGCCTCTCAAGGCCTCTCAAGATCTCTCAGTACCTCAGGCCTCTCAAGGCTTCTCAAGGCCTCTCAACCATCTCCCTCCTTCTCTTCTAGCTTCATCCCCGAAGCCTGTAAAAAAAAAATCTCTTTTTAATCATATTCCAGACGTAAGTTTTCCGAATGCAATACCCGCGCTATATATGCTGCTCAGTTGCTGCTCTCTCAGTGCTTTATCCAAGCACTCTTCAGAACTTAAAGCTGTTTGATATAGATTGCAAGCCTTCTACCAGAAACTTGGTTTGCAGCTAAGAAGCCTAGCATTCAGAACAGCATTCCTGCAGCTATAACGAATAATTACAGCTTTCCGTTTTAAGAATTGCTCTCTAGCAACTCTGAAGCTATTATTACACTTCGCTCCACTGCTAGATACAGAAGAATAATTAGTTCGCAACCTAATATCCAAGCAACTTTAGTTGCTAAGCGAATATTCCGCTTCAGCTCTGCACTCTCGCTCGAATAGCAAAGAGCATACTCTCGAAAACAGAAGATACTCAGATCTACTGCTTGCTTACTCTACTCTCTCGCTCGAATAGCGAAGAATACACTCTCGAAAACAGAAGATACTCAGATCTACTGCTTGCTCACTCTGCTCTTTCGCTCGAATAGCGAAGAATATACTCTTGAAAACAGAAGATATTCAGATCTACTGCTTGCTCACTCTGCTCTTTCGCTCGAATAGCAAAGAATATACTCTCGAAAACAGAAGATACTCAGATCTACTGCTTGCTTACTCTGCTCTCTCGCTCGAATAGCGAAGAGCATACTTTGTTCTAGCTTAGCAACTCGAATGCTCTGAATCTCTTCTAAACGCTTCTTATACGCTGCTTGCATACTGCTTGCTCGCTATTTGCTCTAGCTTAGCGACTTGAATGCTCTGAATCTCTTCTGAATGCTTCTTGCATGCTGCTTGCATACTGCTTGCTCGCTGTTTGCTCTAGCTTAGCGACTCGAATGCTCTGAATCTCTTCTGAACGCTTCTCGCACGCTGCTTGCATACTGCTTGCTTGACACTGCTTGCTCGCTGTATGCTCTAGCTTAGCGATTCGAATGCTCTGAATCTCTTCTGAACGCTTCTCGCATGCTGCTTGCACACTGCTTGCTCGCTATTTGCTCTAGCTTAGCGACTCGAATGCTCTGAATCTCTTCTGAACGCTTCTTGCATGCTGCTTGCATACTGCTTGCTCGCTGTTTGCTCTAGCTTAGCAACTCGAATGCTCTGAATCTCTTTTGAACGCTTCTTGCACGCTGCTTGCATACTGCTTGCTCGACACTGCTTGCTCGCTGTATTCAAGGCTCGAAAGCTCGAAAATCGAAGGCTCGAAGGTCAAAGGCTCGAAGGTTAAAGGCTTGAAGGTTCGAAAAGGATAGTAGTCTGATCGTTTGCTCTGCTCCTGCTCAGTATTAGCGCTGCTCCTAGGGAAAAAAAAAGATAGAAAGCTTCGCCGGATTGCCTCCTTTAAAAGGGCCAGGCCTCAAACTGTCAGGTGGAAAGGTTGCAAAGGCAATGTGGCAAAGTCTTTCTCTCTTTCAGGGGCATACAACCAGAATAACATTGAGGCCTAAGGAGCTAAGTTCTGCTCAGCAGTGCTGACGTGGCTAGAAAGCCGCTTTATAGCCGCATATTGCTTAGTCATCCGTAATCCAGCTGGCTTAGCTAGCTCTGAGCCTTGCTGGCACAATCAGCCCTGACAATTTTTCTTAATAGATTCTTAAGCTGAAGCTGCATTCTTCTCTACCTTTCTTCCTTAATTAATACTCTCTTAGTTTCTTAATTTTATATTTTTGCAAATCTCTTTTGCAATTGCTTATCTTCTAATAAAGCTATTCTTCTCTTTTTACTTTTCTTTCAATTTAGCAGTAATAGCTGAATTCAAGTACTCTCTATTCCTATCTATTCAGCATAGCTAAGGAAACTGAATAATCAAAGCTTACTGCTTTCAGACTGTTTTTCCCAGAGCGCTATATTTAACTGAAGTAATCAAAAGTTGTTTGTTCTATTTTAGTCTAAAGAATGAAGAAAATTATCTAGCAGCAGAATTCATTGAGAAGTACTTCTCAGAATTACTCTCTTGCAAGTTATACTTGCTTATAATCTTTAGTACTAATTCTTCCAAATATCTTCTTGATATTTATAATCTGATTAGATTCTTAAATGCAGAAGTTTCTTAAGATATTAGTCTGCAGCATGCTATAGCTGCTTTTCGTTATTATGCTTAGTATAACTAACAAAATATATTCTTAATGGAATGCCTTTGTATTCTATTAATAGCTTATTCATCTAGCTCTTCTAATATTCTTAATAAGCAGAATTTGCTCAGATATAAAGCTAGATAAAAGCGCTTATGAATTCTCTTCTTAGTTAATATAGCAACTTTAGCTTATACTTTATCTTAGCTTAATATAAAAACTGAAAAAGGATTTTACATTATTATATACAAATTCAGCAATATTCTACTAGCTTATACAAGCAAATACTATCTGAACAGTTAGCTTAGAAGTGCTAAAGCTAATCAGGATTGGGATTTCGAGAATGTTTCAATTATACTACTAAATAACGATTCGAATGCAGCTCTACTTTATACAATCAAACTATTTCGCCTTCAAATCCTGAAATCTATTGATTTCTATTAATCATCTAGTAGCTATCTAGATTAGAAGCAAGCTTTCTATCTTAACTATAGAGAAACTGTACAAAATGTGAAAAAATGAGATGCAAAGATAGCTATAACAAGCCTATACTGCTAAGCTTTCTTCTATAAGCTGAGATACAGCAACTATATGCAATATCCTAATCAGCTATTAAGAAGAAGTACTTTACTTCAAGAATACAAAGCTATACAAATAGAAGCTAATAAAATATTAAATATAATCTATAAGCTAAATATTATCTTCTTCATAAAAGAAGTTACAGATTTACCTAAACTATTTATTAAAGATGATCTCAATAGAATAAGAAGGAATATATCAGCCTTTGCTCTAAAGAATTTCAGAGCAAGTAGAGCATCCAGCTTAATTCTATTAAGATAACAGTTCTGAGAAAGTACAGCTCTAGCTAACCCAATCTTACATTTATCAAGAGAATGTAGTATTAGCTTAGAATTAAATCAACTCCTATTCAGAACTTTTATTAATCCTTATTCCTCTTTACTTTAAGAAATATCTATTAATTCAGAACTAATAATCAATCTATTAATGCAGCAAATAGCTAAGCTTAAATATGCTACTGAAGCTTTATTGTATTAGAAACTAAGAAGCAGCAATATTATATCTCTCAGTTTTCCTAATAAACCTTAGAAGCCTTATATGCTTCTATAGAATAAGCTTTATAGCTTTAACTCTATTAGACTCTTAGTAGGTTTTTTGAATTGAATAGAATTCGATTATGCTTGTTATGACCCATCCAACATGCAGGTCACGAAACAGGTCACGAGCAACAAGGACCAGGTGTTAAGAACCCAATGTTCTGACAAAGCATTGATTACATAACCTAGGAAGGAGACAGGGATGGATTACTAGGAGCACCAGGAGCGCAGCTCACTAGGCTCACCCGGATCACCGCAGTGATCCGCAGGACGCTGCCAGACAGTAATCCATACTGAAGAGCTGGATATATAAGAACACGGTTATTACCATTAGAAGGATTCAGTACATAGCTCTTCAGTTGTCAATCTAAGTATTCAGTTTCATACTGAGTAGCCCCAAAGGCAGTGAATACTTGCATCACTTATTAAGACTTGTATAGTTCCGTATTCAAGAACTTAACACTTTAATACTGCTCTTGTTAGCATAAACCTCTTCGTATACTTAGGAATCTTCGGATTGCTGCAGTGCTCATTACATTTTGACAACTCTTGTTCAAGAACGGTTCAGTGTTACCTCTTGAGCAATACGGAATACGATAGCTCCCCCAGGAACCCCTTCGTCCCTGCGCGCTCCCACTCAGGAAGAACTAGTCAACCAGATGTACCAGCTCATTCAGCGTATCCAGGATCTGCGCGAACAACAGCAGGCCCAGAGCGCTACCATCGCTAACCAACAGGCTCAGCTAGCCCAACAGGCTCAGCTAGCTCAACAGGCTCAACAGGCGCAGTCCACCTCTACAGCTACCAATGGTGCTGGAAAGGCGTACAAGATGAACAAACCCGCCATGTACAACAGCAACCAGAAGACGCTACATGGATTCCTTACCTACTGCAGAGCGTACTTTTTGCATTATGCAACCCAGTTTACTATGGAATCTGAGAAGATCATCCTTGCAGGAACTCGCCTCGAGAAAGATGCTCTCATCTGATATGAACCTTCTCTGCGCAACCACTTGGAGCATCAGAACAATCCCGATACGCATACCCAGGATATCAAGAATATATTCGATTCTTTTGAAAGCTTCGAAAAGGCTCTTAAAGAGACCTTTGGCAACCCCAACGAAGAATGCATTACAGCTCAGCAGCTCATGAACCTCAGGCAGACCAAGTTAGCTTCTGCCTATACAATCAGATTCAAGCAACTCTCAGCACAACTTCCGTGGAAAGATAAGAATCTCATGGAGCACTATTACAAGAAACTCAAGAATAACGTTAAAGATGAAATCTCTAAGCAGGATTAGCTGAAGGACTTTGCGATATTCTCTAATCAAGCTATCCGCATCAACAACCATCTGTATGAACAACGGGTGAAGAAGTTCAAGAAGGGAGGAAGCCAGACTTGGAGGTTTCCAGCCAATACAGGCAAGAAATTCCAAAACAAGAATAGCAGTTAATATAGCAGTATAGCTCAGAGCAGCACTATGCATGCTGATCCTATGGAACTCGACGCTGCCAACAGGCAGTATAGCAAGAAGAATAGCATTACTTGCTATAATTGCAACAAATAAGAATACATTGTATGCAATTGCTATTAATCCCGGAAGAACAAATAGCAACTAGTTCAGGAAGAATGCCAGATGAATATCGCTTAACGATAGGAATCCAATCAACTGAGCAAAAACATCCTCTTGGAGCAAGTATCGGACTTTATTGATTACAGAAGTCTCAGCTGGATATTCTGCTATGATAATAACTGCTTAATATATCTCTCGAATAAGGAAGGTTTAGGATAGTTCTCTCAGAAACCTTGGCGCTGCAGATAAATAGCAATAGCAGGGCGAGGGTATACGCCCAGCATAACTACGAGCAGCAACAACTCGGACTGCTCTGATATTACTGAATAAAGCATTCAGGCGCTGGAGGAAGGACTTAACGACGATGCTCTTCGCTATTCTCCATTACCTGCACCAGACGTCATAACCAGAGAAATGAACAAAGAATGATACCCCCTTGATTATTAGTATAAATACCTAAACAATACTAAGAACGCCTCTCAAGCAATGGAAAGATCAAGCCAAAACAAACGATCCAACGATTCACCGGAGTTTCCCGTAAACAAGGAACCCAAGAAGCTTACAGGAAGGTTCCCCTTTGATATTGAGTAGAACAAGAAAACAACATGGATTGAATATCTCATCTATGGGATAGAACTAGAGGAGCTCTTCATCTGCATCCCCTTGCAGAACATCGAAGCACGAGAAGATGAGAACTCTTGGATCAGCTTACTTCACAACCTATACCACGAATTAGCTTGGATCTCCTGCACCTATTATAGCTGCAGAATACATTTCTCAGACAAGATGCAATACGAATAGTTCTCTGTTAGAGAATCAGAACAAATCCTTCAAGCTGTTGAAGAACAGAAACTCCACTTCAGAAAGGTTCTCAACAGGCAACACTACAACGCATATATCGAGCTACCGGATAATTGCCCCATACAATGCATAAATAAAAAGATAGAGTGGTGGCAGTGCAGGATAATACTCTGCACGATTCATATCAATAACAAAGTTTGCAACTAGCATTAATAGAAGAAAAACCAGAAATAATAATGATACAGGCAAAAGCAAGCCAAGAAGCTCACTCAAGAAGCAGCGAAGCAAGCTTAGAAGAATAAGCAGTTCTTAACAAACTCAAAAGAACAGAATTGCCTGTAAAGGGACTGCAGATAATCAGACTGGAACAGTTCCTATATAAAGCTTCTAGAATAGATTATGCTTATATCAAGTTCGATATATACATTCAAGGATACAAATACAGCACACTATTGAATAGTGATACTCAGAGAAACTTTATATTTCCATACATTATTAATCAGGTACAACTACAATGGAAATAAAAGAGATGCTTATATATTCTTAGTACTGTGGAAGAACAATCTATTGCATATAAT